TTTTTACTGCACTTTTTAGAATTGTGGCATCTCACGAATGTCCCTTTACCATCAATGGTTTCACAATTTCATGCATGTAACGAAATCGTAAAGTTCTAGACCTAAAATTGAAAACTGATAATATAGAACTAGTGATTTTGAGTGCTAACCCAGTTATATGGCAATCATGCGGTAGCTCAATTGTGTGATGAGAACAATTAAATACAGTTCTTATAGTTAGTGTTGCAAATGTCATTGCATTTGTTAAAACAATGTCAATCAGTGGAAAAGCACTAGATTGGCGACAGGTTAAGTGTGTAGAATGGATTGGTAATGTGGAATATGTAGGTTAGTTATACTTATTCCACTTCCAGCCATTAACAATTCCAAAATATACAATGATGAAAGAAAAAAAAGAAAAATACTTGCACGACACGGAAATAAGGCCATAGTCGCCCTTAGGCCGCAAAAGAAACTGAATGACGCGAATGCCCAGTAGGAAGAGGTAGGAAGTAAACCAGCACTAGATTTGCATGTATATTGGCAGCACTTGAAAGCGGTAAACATGTATCAATTAAATAGAACTGCGTGCATACCTCAAACCTATTACAAACGCAATTTATATTCCTTTATCACATAAACCTGACAATGCAAATCAATACGGAATCAAACTACCATTGTCATAAACCATCACATTTATTGCCGCAATGATTAACCTTCTGCGAAGTTGACATCATTAGAAAATAAGTGATAAGACAGGACTTTGAAGCAGATACACTTTTTACTACCTGGCTTGCTCCAGTCATATGAGATATGAGAATGACCAACTGCATCCAGCCTTTCCATTCATCATTCTGAATCTATCTGTGTAGTAGCGATAGTCTGTAGCGGAAAGGCACATGCTGCTAACATCTCTTTAATGCTGTATTTATGCTTATATCTCAATAGCTTTTTCAAATCTGTGAACTTCAATGTTTATTCAACACAACAAAAGTAGAGAGTGCAGAAATGTTTCACACAAAAAAAGTGACTGTTTACTCAAGCAAATATATAAATGTATTGAAAATCTCCTCTCACAAG